GAGCACCCCCTACTGGGCACCTGGCCCACAACCCAGTCATGTGCCCTGACTGGGAATTGAACCAATGACCCTTTGGTTCACAGGTCAGTGCTCAATCCACTGAGCCGCACCAGCAGGGCAAATAAATAAAATCTTTTAAAAAAGGAAAACTAAAAGCCATAGGATGATGACCCTCACAGGCTGCTGCAAGTCCCCCAGCTGAGAAGTGCCAAGGACCCTGCCCAGTGCCTGGCACAGCGGACGTCCAGGAAGCGGTGGCTGCTGCTCTCGGCCGACACCGGAGGCTCCCTGGAGCAGGAGGGACCCCCGCCCCCCGCCACGCTCCTAAACAAGGGCAGGGAGTCAGGTCCAGCTGGGACAGAACCCCGCCAGCCCCTCTCACCGGGGGGCCCTGGCTCGGTCACTGCGCCTCTCTGAGCCTGCTATCTCCTCTGTAACAGAGGATCTGACCCGGAGCCCAGAGCCGGGGGAGGGCCAGCTCCTCCTCCTCCCCCAGTAGCAGGGCCCCCTCAGACTGCCCGGCCAGGTTAGGACCCCCGTGCCAGGAGGTCAGGCCTCTGCGGGGGCCTTCCGGGATTTCCTGAATTTACGACAAGTTCAGGAACCGCCCCTGCAGGGGAAATCCCTGGCCGGGGAGGGGCCCCTGGAGCTCCTGCAACACCCGCTCCGCTCGCCAGCACCTCCCCAGGGGCATCCCTGATTGGCTGTGTGGCCTTTGACCAGTGGCTGGCCCTCTCTGGGCCTGATTCCTGGCTGAGGGCGTCCAGGCCCAGCCCCAGCCCAGCCCCGCCTGGGGCCAGCTCTGCCTCTCTCTGGCTCCACTCCAGACAGCACCGCAGGGCTGTCACATGCTGAGCCACGTGACAGGCAGCGGCTGGGGGCTCCATCTCACGCAGAGGACGGGGGCCTCCAGAGCCCCTAACCCCTGTCCCAAGTGGCTGAGGCCTCCAGAGCAGGTGTGGGCCCCGAGACCTCCCGTGCCCTCCCAGGGGGGCCCGGGGAACGGGGAGGGTGGGGGTGGTGAGGAGCTTCTCCCAAGGGCCCCGTGGCCCGGGGGTCCCAGGCCAGCATCCCGGGCAGACCCAGGGCGCCCAGGCAAAGGGGCAGTAGGACGGCGGTGGTGGCCCCGGAGTGGCAGGCACGGGCGATGGCACAGAAGATGCTCCTGCCCCCACACCTGTAACCCAATCACCTGCCTGTCTGACACCGGCGGCGGCTCGGGAATCTCCCCCTTTGTGTTGGCTCCCACAGGTGTGACCGGGGTGGGGGCCGGGGCAAGGCAGAGACAGACAGGCCCCCGGCACAGCTCGGGCGCCAGAGGAGCGGGAACCCAGGAACCACCATGGTGACACATCGTCGTGACAGCTGCCCTAGGGGGCAGAGGGCGGCGCTCTGCCCCGGGAGGTGGGAGGGGCATCTGGGAACACAAGCAGCCCCTGCTCGGAGCAGCAGGCTCCCAAGTGTGTGGGTCCCAGCGCTGCCACTCGCGCCCTGGGTGGGCAGGTCTCGTCCCCTGTCTGGGGCTCCGTTCCTCCTTGTAAGATGTCGGGGCGCAGGGGACAGGCTCGGTGAGTGGGTGCGGGGGGAGGCGGTGCTGGCCGACACGCACACGCAGGGAGCCCGGGCCCCGAGGCTGTGCTCCTGGACCCCAGCCATCTCGGGATCTGCGTTCTTCATCCTGCCCGTGGGAGACGAGGCTCAGGTGGGCTGGGCTCGGGGTGGGGCTGGGGCTGCCCTTGCTGCTCCAGGTGACTGGGCCCCACCCCACGCCGTAATTCCCAGGGCCACAGCCTCTCCTTCTCCCGCTGGGCCTGGGTCCCCATCCCCAGGCCTGGGGCCGGGGGGCCCTCAGCTCAGAGCTCCCTGAAGACCTCTGCGTGGCCCCCACCGGCCGCTGGCCCTCTCCGGGCCTGGCTCGTTGTCTGTGATGCAGGAGGGGGTGTAGAGGCTCCTGAGTGTTCTGCAAAATCTCCTGGGCCCGAGAGACAAAGGAGAGGCTGACAACTCCATCGCAGCATCAAGAGTTTGTTCAGGGAACGCATATACGAGGCGCACCTTGCGCAGTGGCGAGGCGCCGGGAGCGCGGGCAGGCGCTAAGGAGTGATGCGGCCCAGGCCAGGGCGGATGGGGGCGCCAGGACTCGACCTGTCCCGGACGTCGGGGGAAGGATGCTTTCCGCGCTCGCCTGGGGAAAGGCAGGGGCCTGTTCCAGCATCGGCCCGCCCGCGGCCTGGTGTGGGGGGCGGGGGGTGGTCTCGGAGGGCATTTACGGGAAGCAGTCTCTGTCCGGCCCAGATGGAGCTCTGGGGTCCGGCGGCGGTCAGGCCACTGCACGGTCTCTCCCACACACTGCTGGAGGTGGCAGTGAATCTCAGCCCGGGCACCGAGCCAGGGCAGCCCCGCCCCAGAGGCCGGCCGGGCCGGGACGTTTCACAACAGCTGGGCAGGGCCGGGCAGGGCAGGGCAGGGCCGGGCAGGGCAGGGCAGGGCGCCGGCGGAGCGGAGACGCGGGGAGGAAGGGCAGCTCGGCAGAGCCTCAGGTACCGTGTCCTGGGGTGGAGTGGGGGGCGGGGGAGACGGCAGCCAGCAAGCCGGGGACCTGGCTGCTGGGCTGGTTTGGAGCTCCCGGCTGCCGGCTGCCTGGCCAGGCAGGGCCACTCGGGCCACACACAGACTGGCCTTGTCCTCCCGGAGCTCCTCCGCCCGCCTGGAGAGGAAGGGGAAGGGGGGGGGGGGGACTTCCCTTTGAAGAGACCGGAGCCGTGGGAGAGGGAGGGGCTGAGGAGGGGCCCGGGGGTCCCCGAGGCCAGGCCGACAGCCGGCACCCTCGTTTTCTGTCGGAGCTGGCCACCATCCTTCGTCTCACTGGGGCTGGATCCAGGGGGGACCCAGAAAACCCCGGAATTTATTTATAAAAAATTGTGTATTTATTCTTACAAGCTGACACTTCAGCCACCTTCAAAGCCCTCTCCCTTCGATACAATACACATATGGAGACATTTTTTCCCACTGCTCAAAGCAGTGTTTGAACTCATCAACTTTGATGCCAGCTTTTTTCCCCAGGGGAACAAGAAAAAGTCGCTTGGAGACAGCAGGTGAATGGGGAGGCTGGGGCTTGGGGTTCAGGCTGTTCGGGGTCAGGAACTGCTGAGCACGCAGCACGGTGTGGGCAGGTGTGCTCGTGAATCAGCCATCACGAAATGGGCAAACGCATTGAAAGAGTCTTCAGAAAAATTACATTTCACTGAAGCTGAATGCAGCCTCTCACAACAACGCCAGCTGGCACACTGATCCAGATGGGCTCCTAGAACGCTCACCTAGTGAGGGGAGCCTGTACTGCAAGGAGCCCACCCTGCAGAAGAGAATTCCGGGGTTTTTTGCATCCTCCCTCGTACATCCTGGAAGGGAGCCCAGGGCCCCAGCTCCGGACCACGTGGCCCCAGGAGGGAGAGCGCCCTGTGCCTGGGCGGGGGCGGGCAGAGGTCAAGCACCCGCGTGGCAGCACATGTCTCCTGGGCACGGCCCTGGGCACTATGGCAGGTCATGTTCCTGGGAGTGGACACTGCCCGGGCTCCGGGAGGGGGCACCAGCTGACGACCGTGCCTCCCTGCAGGAGAGCTGATCGCCGGGGGGCTTTGTGGGCATCGGGGAGCCTCCGCAGAGCCGCCCCAGAGGGTGGGGCTGGGGCTGGGGCTGGGGCTGGTCCCCGGCGGCCCACGGCACCCATGGAAGGGACAGGACAGCTGCCCAGAGCTCCGGGGCACCTGGTGGACATCCAGGTCAGGGCCACACGGGAGAGACCCGGCTGGAGACACTAGGGGAGTGGACCTCCCACACAGGCTGGGGACCTCCATCTCTGGCAGCAGAAGGGGGTCCCCAGGGCTCTCGAGCCACCACATTTCCCTCTGTCACCTTCCCCAGCTCCTGCCCCCACCTGGGCTGATGTCCTTGCCCCCCCCGGCACTCGCGCTGGTCTCAGGCCTCCTCAGGCTCCCACCCCGGGGTCTCCCTCCTCCTCCCCCTCCCGGGGCGGTGGTCTCCCAGCAGCAGCCTCGGGGGCTCCAGGGGCCGACCCCACTTCACGGGTGGGGAAGGTGAGCCACAGAGAGGCCAGGGCACCCGCCCAGGTGCTCCTCACTGACAAGTGGAGTTGCTGGGGTTCGAGCCCGGGGCCACGGCACTGGGAGGATGCTCTTAGAAAGAGCCTGGTTGAAGCTCCCGCCCAGCCTCCCGTGGGGGGTTGGAGCGTGGGGGTGGGGGGTTGGAGCATGGGGGCGGGGTGGAGTTCCTCTGCACACCCCGAGATTCTGGGTTTCCGGTTGTCGGGGTGGAGAAGCCGGGTGGCCTCAGGCAGGCCCCCTGCTCTCTGTCCCCTCCAGTGGGGGCAATCGCGGCACCCTGTCCAGGCCGTCCTGGTGGTGAAGTGGGTCCCACGGGCGCAGGTGACCGGAGCCGACTTTCTTAGGAACTCGGGCAGCCCAGACGTGCCCCGGGGCGGGGAGGGAGGAGCTCGGGGCCCCAGCCCCGTCTGATGCAGGAACCCCCTCGTTTGTGGGTCCTTTGTGAGGTCACAGGGCCTGGGTGCCCCCAGATCCCGGAGGAGAGGTGGGCGGGGCTCCCCTGCTCGCCTGGGTTGTGCCCAGCTCTCCGGGCCCTGGCAGGCAGCCCTGGGGGAGGGGGGGGGCTTCCATCCAGAGTGACCGACCAGCAGGGGCAAAGGCTGGGTGACTTTGCCTCAGTGTTGTGGGGAGAGACCCCCCCCGTGCCTTGCTCAGAGGCAGGAGCGCCGTGCCTTACATTCTTGCGGGTTTGACGAGGACTCTGATGAAAGCGCAAACAGCCCGGGGAGGCAGGAGATGGGGCGGGGAGGGTGTGCCGGGCTCTCAGCGCCTATCGGAAGCCTGCGGGTGAGAGCAGGACCAGGAGGGCGGGGCGGGGGAGGGAGACCGCCGAGTGACGAGGGGGCCTAGCCCACGTCTCCTGGACACGGCATGCACGCACACACGCCAGCGCTCCGTGTGGCCTTGCGTCCTTCAGTCCTCAGGACGGCAGCGAGCTCTCTGTCACCACCAGTTACAGACGAGGAAACGGAGGCAGCGAGCGGGTGAGCGGCTCGCCCAAGGTCAGGCCAGCACGAGGCAGGGCCGGGGTGAGCCCAGAGGGTTCCCTGCTCCTGGGTCTTGGCCTGGCCAGGGCTCCCCCCACCCAGTAGAGGGGCCGAGCCTGGGGCCGAGAGGGAACATGGTGTCCACGGCAACTGCCCAGCATTTCCCAACCAGGGCAGGAGGCCTGCAGGGTCAGCACGGCTCCGGTCACACCAGGGGGACGTCCTCAGCGCAGAGTGCCGGCTGGGCCAGGCCATCCCGTTGGCTGCAGCAGACTCAGCTCTCAGGGCCATAAAACCTTCCAGAAAACCAAGGGCCACAGGGACAGTAGCCACTTAACAAGAGCTGGGGGCTGCAGACACACTGAGGCCCAGCCCTGGGCTCGGAACTGTGCTCGTTCTCGATGAGCACCAAGCCAGCTGGGGGTGCTGTCACTGTCCCCCCAGGGGATGAGGAGGCTGGGGTATTCAGACCCCCACGATGAGCCAAGCAGGCCATGCGGGTCTGCACCCCAGTCTGGTGGGAGGGAGGTGGGTGGGATAAAACTACGTATTTATTGTGCGGTGGCCCAGCGTGGTGGGGAGCAGAGCCCAGGGGCCCCTGTGAGAGTGTGTGTGGGCGAGTAACCAGGGCGGGCTGCCTGCAGGAGGCATCAGGCAAGCAGAGACCTGAAAGGCGGGAAGTCAGAAAGGGCAGCAGAAAAGGGTCCCCACGGGTCCTCAGCAGCAGACAAAGGAGTGAATGTGTCAGAATGCTCCTCTGTCCAGTTTCCAGTAAACAGGTGGGGGGCCGGGGGAATGTGGGGGCCCCCACCCCACCTGCCCACCCTGCTGCTGACAGCGAGGAGGCGGGGCTGCCCCTTTACCTCCATCCCCACCGTTCCCTGCTCTTCCGTCCCGGACAGCTGGGAGGCTGGAGCTCTTTCCCTCCAGCTGGGGAGCTGGGGAGCGGGGAGAGGGGCCACCGCCCTCTGTCACCCAGCCCTCTGGGCCACCGCCAGCCTGCCTAGCCTCCCTGGGCAGTGCTGCCAGCCTGGGGGCGGGGAGACCGAGGATGTGGTGTCTGGAACGTCCCAAGTGGGGACCGTGGTGGGGGGTGGGGACTGTCCCTCTCCTTATCCAACTCCCCCTGATTATTCCAGGCCTGGTGGGTGCGGGCAGCCCCGTGTCTGGGTGAAGCACCGGACAAGGGTGCAGCCGCGGCCTGGGGCTAGTTTCTGTTGGGTTCCTGGCTGCCTGCCCACCGTTAGGGGACTATGGAGTAGCTGTCCCCAGACCCACACCAGTGCTCAGGGTCCAGGGCTCTCCACCCGCTGGCCAAGGGGGCGGTGGCCTCTGTGTGTGTGTGTGTGTGTGTGTGTGTGTGTGTGTGTGTGTGTAGACCAGGCAGGGCCTGGTCCCCTGGGACTACACGTGAGCCCCAGGGAGGGTGTGTGTGTGAGCCCACACGGTGCAGGCAGGGCTGCAGCGGGTGCCCGAGAAGGTGGGGAGCCCTGGCCCATGCTCCTCTTTTCCTCCCGCAGGATGGACCCCTTCGAGGACACGCTGCGGCGGCTGCGGGAATCCTTCCGCGCGGGGCGGACGCGGCCGGCGGAGTTCCGGGCGGCCCAGCTCAAGGGCCTGGGCCGCTTCCTGCAGGAGAACAAGCAGCTTCTGCAGGAGGCGCTGGCGCAGGACCTGCGCAAGGTGGGGGGCGGCGGGCGGTGGGAGGTGGGCGGCGGGCGGGGTGGGAGGCAGGTAGGGTGGGGAGGCTGGGACAGGGACGTGGGGACAGCTGCATCCTCCATGAAGTGGGACTAAAAACCCATCCCCCTCCACCCCTTGCCTGTGCCGTAACCCACTCTGCCGCATTCACCCATTTCTTCATCCGCTCAACTACTCACTGAGCACCTACTATGTGCCACGTCCCGTTCCGGGATCTGGGGATGCAACAGAGAATAGAACCAAATCCCTGTGTGCAGCCAGCTGGCCTTGACAGAGCTCGACAGTGAATCAATAATGACGTGGCGTGTGGACGGTGGGAGGGGGCGCGAGGGGGCCAGGGTCAGGGTGCCGTCTCCCGCTGGGGGCAGGGAAAGCTTCTCTGAGAAGAAGGCGTCTGAGCAGAGGCGTTAAGGAGGAAGGGAAGGAGCCACGTGGACCCCGGGGGAAGCGGCAGTGGGGCGTGCACGGGCGAAGGCCCTGGGGCAGGAGGAGCTTGGTGTGCGTGCCTGAGGGGCAGCAAGGGGCCCGCTCGGCTGCAGAGGGAGGGGCAGGGCTGCACGGAAGATGAGCCTCACAGGCAGGGGCGGGGGGGGGGGGGCGGGCTTCAGCCGCCCCCAACCCCAGCGGCAGCCACGGCGGGGCCCCAAGACGCACACTTTCTCATACGTAGGTGGCTCCGCCTCCCCAGCTCCCAGGGCCCGCCTACTCAGCTCCCCCTGGGGCTCCCCTGGGCGCGTTACAGAGGCCGCAGTTCCCAGACCCACCTGGTGCGTCCCACTGGCCCCTCACCGCCTGGCACCCCAGGGCCAGTGGCTCTTGGTCAGCTGGCAAGGCCGCTAGCTGCTTGGATTCTTACCACCTGCGAGGAGCCCGCAGTGCGCGCCGGCGGCTGGCCGGCCCCCCCGGGGGACGGCAGTGTCCCCTTGGCTTCAGCTGAGCTTGTCTGAGCCCTAAACCTCGAGTATGTCCCCAGCAGGGCCTGGGGCCTCCCGAGGTCCCACATGAGACCCTGCGTTGACCTCTGGGGTCCACCCCTTGCTGCTTGCTGCTTGCTGCTTACGCCCTTGAGGGTCAGCCAGCCCACACGCTGCCCTCCCCGCACACACACACTTTTCCAGTGGGCCAGCGGGCTCCGCTGGGGTCATGATGGAGACGCTGGCACCGGCAGGGACCCGCCCTACTCACAGCAGCCAGCCAGGTGCCCGCCCCGTCCCTGCGGTAGTCACAGATTCGTTGCCTGGTCGCGTCCAGAGTCACGAGTGGGGTGCGTCCCCGTTCTGCAGGGACGGCAGGGGCTGGCCACAAAGCCTTGTCCTGAGGACATGGCCTCCTGGTCACCCCTGCTCCTTTTCTCCCTGTCCCCGAACCTTCTCTTTACCTCTGCCGCAGCCAGGTGACACCAGGGCCCCTCATTGGCCTCTTCTGGAACCATCTGCTGCCCCATTTATGAAACCGGGGCTCCCGGCCAAGTTCTCCACAACTCCCCGCAACCCAGGGGGCGGGCTTGGCCTCCCTGTGGGGAGTGTCCCCCGCTCACTGGGCCCGGTCGGTCGGGGGACAGGCACCCCCGCAGCGCCGCTGCCACCGCCCACCTGCTGGCCCAGCTGCCCTTCCCCGGGACACCTGCGCCGACCGCCTATCTGGTCCCTCTCCTCCCTCGGGCTCGGGTTTCCTCCCCGGCTCCTCCCGGCTCCAGCAGCCGGGCCCCACAAAGGGCGCAGCAGCCCAGAAAAGCCACCCGGGGTCCTCCCCACAGCTTGCGAGCTCTGTCCCCGACCTTCCCGGTACGCGGCACCTGCCCGCCCTGATCTGCACGAACCTTCCCCTTGAAACCCAACAGGGCTTCCAGGTGGGGCGGCCGCACGGTCACCCCTGCAGGAGGCTCAAAACAGCTTGCTCTCCCCGCATCGCAGAGGTCAGCAGGGCCCAGACTGTCCCTTCAACCGGCCCAAAGCTCGCTCGGACCATAGGTGACCTGCCAGGTCCAGTGGTCAGGCCCCACGGCTCAGGGGGGCAGAGGCGTGGGCTGCGCACGCAGGGGTGGGGAAGCACGCTTCATCCGGGCTTTGCTTCCCAGCAGCGAGGGTGGGTGTGGCTCCTCCCCCCGAGGTCCCAGCTGTGGCCTTGGCCTTGCACTGGCTTGCTCAGTGACCCCGAGAAGAGCATCCCCCTCTCTGGGCTTCGGTTCACCCTCAAAACCATCCCAGCACCCCTGGGACTGCCGCCCTGCCCTCTAGCAGGGAAAGCTCGTGACGGCCACGCCTCGGGCTTCAGGACAGCCGGGCTGTGGGGCCCCTGTCCGTGGGCCTCACGCTGCCTGAGGCCCGCGGGCTGGGTCTCTCCTCCCTGCTGGCGTGGGACAGGCACGCGGAGACAGAGATGGGCACAGCGTCCCGTCCCGGGGACGGCCGCCGCCTCCTCCCTCCTGCCCTGGAAGCCTGACAGTGACACCCGGCCCCCGGGCTGTGGGAACTGACGGCACTTACCCCAGGGGGCCTGACCCCAGGGTCCCTGGCAGACTGGTACCCACACAGCGGGCCACAGTGGGGCACACGGACAATCCTGTTAAACCCCAAGTTCGCTCCTGTCCCTACTCGGTTTGACGTCCTCAGCCCGGCCGCCTGGCCCCATCCCCTCGCCCACTCTGCTCCTGGCTAGGCGGGGACACGGCGAGCCCGCGCCCACCCCAGGGCCTTTGCACGTGCCCTGCCCTCCGCCGGGAACATCCTGCCGCCGGATGTTCCCGGGCTCCCCTTCTTCGCTGCTCAGCTGCAGCCTCGTCCCCGAGGCTGGTGCTGGCCCTCGTGCGGAAAATGGAGCAAACACACATACACACACGCACTGGAACACACACCACTCACTCAAGCACTTGCACACGTGCACGCTTGCTGGAGCTCGGGCACACACACACACACACACACACACACACACGCCACACGCTCCAGCAGTCTTCCCACTGCGCCGTCTCGTCCCCATGTGGCAGCCAGTGTCCCCGAGACCACGTTGACTGTCCCCCTGCAACAGCGGCTGCACGGGACACCAGGCTGTCTCTCTGTCTCGGCCACTGCTGCACCGCTGGCTCGAGACAGCACCTGCGCACTGCACGAGCCCACTGGACGTGGGCAGATTGGGTGGATGGGAAAGTCAGAGCAGGCCTTGTCTGGAGGAGGCTGGGCCCTGTCGGGGCCTCCGGCCACCCGCTGACCCTGGTCCTGGGGCCCTGCCCCGCCCCTGCAGGGGGTCTTCGAGGCGGAGGTGTCCGAGTTCAGCATCAGCCAGGGGGAGATTAACTTGGCGCTCAGGAACCTGAAGGCCTGGATGAAGGACGAGAAAGCAACCAAGAACCTGGTGAGCGGGCCTGGGGTGGGGCGAGGCAGGTGGGCTTCAGGGTGGGGGTTTCCCCACGGGGCCTCCTCTGGGGTGGAGGGTGGTGCCGAGGGGCCGGGGTCTCAGCCGCCGGGCACTTGCCATGCTGCACCCCCTTCCCACACAGGCCACGCAGCTGGACTCCGCCTTCATCCGCAAGGAGCCCTACGGCCTGGTGCTCATCATCGCCCCCTGGAACTACCCCGTGAACCTGATCCTGGTGCCCCTGGTGGGCGCCCTCGCCGCAGGTGAGCGGAGGGTCCTGAGCCTCACCCCTCACCCTTCCTGGCCCCAAAAGCCCTTCCCAAATGGGGCAGGGGAATGTCTCAAAATTCCATCGTGTCATGCGCCCAGCCTCGCACACCCTCCCTGCCTCTCCGCGTTCTGGTCTGCTGCCTGCCACTGGGTGGGTGTGGGGGCACCGGCTCCCCCTAGAGTTCCCCACTTGACACTGCAGGGAACTGCGTGGTGCTGAAGCCATCGGAAATCAGCCAGAGCACAGAGAAGGTCCTGGCTGAGGTCCTGCCCCCAGTACCTGGACCAGGTAAGGGTGGCCCTGCCCCCCTTCAGCCACAGTGTCCCACATCCCTGCCCTTGCCAGCCTGGGAGGTTTGGCCGTCCCTGCAGCCCGCAGTGTCCCCTGAGCATCCTGTGCCTCCGGCAGAGCTGCTTTGCCGTGCTGCTGGGCGGGCCTGAGGAGACGGGGCAGCTGCTGGAGCACAAGTTCGACTACATCTTCTTCACGGGTGAGGGGCCCTCGGTGCGTGGGGGTGGGCGGCGTGCAGGGTGGGGGGTGCCCCAAGTCCTCACAGACAAGGAGGTGTCTGCAGAGACGGGAGGAGCCAGGACCACGGGGAGGGGGCAGGGCGGAGAAGTGACCGAGTCTTCGGGTCCCGGGCAGAGGGAGCCAGGGAAAAAGGCCGGGGTCACCCGCACAGACGCCGGGCCAGGCGAGGGCAGGGGCCTCCAGGCCTCGGGGTAGGGGGGCTTCAGCTCAGGGGAGGCTGAGTAGAGCAGCGGACTGTGAAATCCAGAAGATCAGCCCAGACGGGAGGTGGGGACGGGGGGGGGGGGGGGGGGGCGGCAGTGGAGGGGCGGGGGGCAGGGCTGCCAGGGGAGGTCAGAGAAGAGAGACCCTAATGTCCGAGCCTGCAGCTGGGCTCCGGCCTCAGCCTCAGGTGACAGGGGTCGCTGAAGGTTCCAGAGAGGCGTGGACAGGTGGCGAGAGGCGCGGGGCAGCGTGTGTCACCTGCAGGGGCGCGGGGGACCCGAGGCAGGAGGGGGCAGAGGGGACCTGTAAAAGGCTCTGCTGGCGCAGCAGCGACTGGCAAGGGAGGGCCCGCTGAGGCCCGGCCCCCCAACTCAGCCCCCTGTCCGGAGGACGAGGGGCAGGAAGTGGACCCCACTAAAGGGGCCCCAGCCCCAGGCCGAGGCCACCCCACCTGACCCACGTCAATGAACGTCACTCTGGCTTTCCCCGCATCCCCAGGGAGCCCCCGGGTGGGCAAGATCGTCATGGCCGCGGCCGCCAAGCACCTGACGCCCGTCACGCTGGAGCTGGGGGGCAAGAACCCCTGCTACGTGGACGACGACTGCGACCCCCAGACCGTGGCCAACCGTGTGGCCTTCTTCCGCTACTTCAACGCCGGCCAGACCTGCGTGGCCCCCGACTACGTGCTCTGCAGCCCCGAAATGCAGGAGCGGCTGGTGCCCGCCCTGCAGAGCGCCATCACCCGCTTCTACGGCGAGGACCCCCGGGGCTCCCGGACCTGGGCCGCATCATCAGCGACAAGCATTTCCAGCGGCTCCAGGGCCTGCTGGGCTGTGGCCGTGTGGCCATCGGGGGCCAGAGTGACGGGAGTGACCGCTACATCGGTGAGTCCCCCTCTCCCGGCCCCGGGACCCCCCGGCTGAGGCCCTTACAGCAGGCTCCGATGGGCCCTGAGGTTCCCGGCTTCCCTCCCGCCTCCCGCTGCTCCGCGGCGTGACCCGGGTCCCGTGGGCCCACGATCCCTGTCCTGAGCACCCGCCAGGCTGCGGTTACAGAGCAGCTCCCAGCCTCTGGGCCACACGTCTCTGCGGTGACGCTGCCGCTCCGACAGGCTGGGACCTGGGACCTCGGGCTCCGGGGGTCTGAGGTCCCGTCACCCCTCGACTGTAAGACCAAGGCTGGGGGGCCTCTGGGCCCTGGTCCCTCCTCGGGGGCCGTGGGGAGACTCCTCCCTAGAACCCCCCTGAGCCTGGAGCCCTGGGTCCCCGGGCCCTGCCCAGGGGACCCTGCGCCCGGGGCCGAGCCGTGCCCTGTGCCCGCAGCCCCCACGGTGCTGGTGGACGTGCAGGAGACGGAGCCGGTGATGCAGGAGGAGATCTTCGGGCCCATCCTGCCCATCGTGAGCGTGAGGAGCCTGGACGAGGCCATCGACTTCATGAACCGCCGGGAGAAGCCCCTGGCCCTGTACGCCTTCTCCAACAGCCGCCAGGTGGGGGCTCGGGCAGGCCGCGCAGAGGCTGGGCAGGGGTGGGGACAGGTGCGGGCCGTGAGCCGAGGGCCTGGAGGGACGGAGGGTGCTGGCCCCTCTGGGCTGTCCCAGGAGATCCTGGGTGGCGGCTGTCTTGGCTCTGCCTCTGTCGTCCCTCCTGAGAGCAGCCACCACCCTCCCCTGCTGTCCTGGCCACCCTGGCCTGGGTGCTCCGTGGGCAGGTCCCAGGACCCTCTCCAGCATCTCATATCCCCCCATCTGCCCGGCCTCCATCTCAGCCCGTTGGCTGCAGTGTCCCCTTCCAGCGTCTGGCTCACGGAAGGCACACACACATGGGGTGCGACAGGGAGGGTGGGCGACCGGGACACACAGGCCAGGCACAGGCCCTGAGCCCCACCCCTGGGCCCTCACCTCCAGCCCCTGGGGGCAGCCTGGAGCCTCGAGGGGCGGGCGCCCCCAGTTTAGGACTCACCTCCTCGCCTCACCCAGCTCTCGTGAGCTGCCTCCCAGACCAGACAGTATTTTTGGAAATCAAGTTTTTATTTTGGGAGGACGAGACTTACAGAAGTATCAGAGACAGCTCAGGGGCGGCAGACCCCACGCCCCGTTCCCGCGGTCAAGGGCCCTCCCCCAGTCAGAACCAGTCAGAGCTGGGCAGCGGACAGTGGCGCACCACTGGTGACTGTGCTCTGGGCTCGGTTCGGACTTCACCAGTTCTCCCTCCTCTGGGGGGGGGCCCGGCCGGGGGCCCACTGCAGCCTGTAGCCGTCGGGGCTCCTCTGGGCCATGACTGGCTGGGGAGCTACTGTGCTGAGACCTGCCCATCCTGTTTTCCATCCCTTCCTTCCCTCCCTGGGTCTCCAAGACGCCTTGGGCTCGTGCCGTATTTCCTGTGCCCAGCCCTTCCTCCGGGCGCCCTGGTTTACCGGGATTATGTTCACTTTAGAAAGCGCGACACAGGGTTTTTGGAACGGGAGTCACCTGGCATAATGGCTGTCCTGACTGCCCAGCCCTGGTCCCCGGAGAGAGTGACACCTAAGACACGTCTCAGCCCAGGTGACTCGCCCTTAGGTCCCTGGGAGCACTGGTGCTTCCCGCTCCATCCACTGTGGCTGTGACTGATGGTCGCAAGTGACCTCTGAGCGCACAGCTGGGGGCGCCACTCCGCCCACCATCAGATAAGCCTTGACCCTGGGGCCATCTGAGGGTCACGCGTTGTAACTAAATATAATGACACCTTAATGTCAGTTCATCCTTTTCCCTCTCATTCTTCAAGTAAACCTATGGATAGAAAAGGTCTTCACAAAGTCAAGCAAAGGCCAAGTTCATGTTTCTAAAGATTTTATTTATTTATTTTTAGAGAGGGGAGGGAGGGAGAGAGAGAGAGAGAGAAACATCAATGTGTGGTTGCTGGTGGTCATGGCCTGCAACCAGGGCATGTGTCCTGACTGGGAATCGAACCTGCAACACTTTGGTTCGCAGCCCGAGCTCAATCCACTGAGCTACACCAGCCAGGGCCCAAGTTCATGTTTCTAAAACACCGATCTGACCAGGCGATCGCAGCTGACCTCCCTGTGCCACATGTCACACAGCCCCACCCCAACCCCACTCCCCTGTCCCTCAGCCACCCCACCTGCCCTGCACTCTGCCTGGGGGCCCCTCCCCTCTCTGCCTGAATGACCCCTGACCCCTTCAGACTCAGCAGGGACATCATACCCCTCTCCTGGGACACTCTCCACCTCCCCTCCGGGCCTGTGGGTCCCCAGCACCCCGCACACGAGAGCAGGTGCTCAGGAATGCGTCCTGACCCGGGAGTCTGGTGGCAGCACCCCCTGCAGCTCCCGTGGTGGGCCAGCCCCTCCCCAGAGCCAGCAGGCTGGCCTCCTGCCGCCCGGCCACTCAGCCGCTTGCTGCTTCTCCCCAGGTGGTCCAGCAGGTGCTGCACCGGACCAGCAGCGGGGGCTTCTGCGGGAACGACGGCTTCATGCACCTGACCCTCGCCAGCCTGCCGTTCGGAGGAGTGGGTAGGTGCCAGGAGAGCCCGTGTCCTTCCCTACTCATGTGACTGATGGCACCGCAGCCCCTCCATTCTGCTCCCCGCACCCTCTGAGTCTGGACAGAATCTTCCAGACCTGCCTCTGCGTTGACATTTGGGGGTGGGGTCTGTCTGGGAGGGAGTCTGACAGTCCTCCTCCCGGTGAAAACCCCCCAGGGCTCCCATGAGGGCGGGATGAGGCTGGGCCCCTGACTCGCAGCTCCTGCAGGCCAGCCCGTCCTGACCTGGCCTCCTCTCCCCGCACCCCTGCCCGCTGCCCCAGCCACACTGAGCTCTGCCCGGGCCCTAACAAGCCACGGGTCAAGCACCTTCAAGTGCTGGGTCCGAGTTTTGTCTGAGCCTGGGTCCCTCTTGCCCACACCCGCCCTCTTCATCTGGTCAAATCCACGTCCCTCGGGGCTTGCTCCAGGAAGCCCTCCCTGATTACCCCCAACTCCACCAGGCTGGGTGACCCTGCCCAGACTCCTCAGTGCAGAAGCTGCCTCATCCTTGACCACCTCCCTACTTAGACGCTGAGGATTCACAACACAGCACTTACTGTGTCCAGGGGTCTGGACACTCACCCAGCCCCCCACAGCTCCAGGAGGGAGGTGCCGTTCTCACCCTACGGCACGGAGGACACCACGGCAAAGTCGCTTGCCCAAGGTGACAGCTAGCTCAGAGCTGAGGTTCTAGCCCACGCGGTCCCTCCGGAATCCACATTCCTGACCACTGTCTACCTGTCTTGCCTTAACACCTCCCATGGCACCTGGTGTCCCCGACGTTTATGGAGCTGTTGCCAGGCCCGGGGCTAAGCCCTCCCTCGGGTCTCTCGGGGTGAGCCAGCCCCCTTTGCAGACCGGAGCCGCGAGGCTCGAAGGGACGAAGCTGCCCATCCAGGTCGCACCGTGTGGCCGGCAGCCCCCACGTCTGCCTGACGTTGCCTCCCCTGGCCGCTGAGGGCCTGACCGCCATGTTCTCTGCCACTGTGCAGGTGCCAGCGGCATGGGCAGCTACCACGGCAAGTTCTCCTTCGACACCTTCTCCCACCACCGCGCCTGCCTGCTGCGCCGCCCTGGGATGGAGAAGATTTACTCCATCCGCTACCCGCCCTACTCGCTGCGCAACCTGAGGGTGCTGCTGATGGCCATGGAGACCCGCAGCTGCACCCTGCTCTGAGCCCGCCTTGGGCATCGGGCACCAAGGGTCCCTCCTGGCTCATGTCCAAGTCCTACGCTGTCACCTGTGGCTGGTGGAGGCGCGACCTAGGGTCCGGGGCACAAGGAGGAAAGACCTGCCAAGGCCACAACCCAGCCCAGCGCTTGCCCTTCTCCTTCTCAGGGCGTCCCTCTTCCGGCCCTCGGCTGCCCCCTAACTAGGAGGGGCTAAGGTGAGGGAGTGTGCGAAACCTCCGAGAGCCACCTGTCCCAGGCAGACGAGCCACCTGTCCCGGGCAGATGGGGGCACCCCTGAGCCACCCCCTTCCTGTGGAAAGGGCAGCAGGCCGCATCGTGGACCTGCTGTGACCCAGGCTGTCCCTGTCCTGAGCTGCTCCCCGTCTCCACAGTGGAGATGACTAACGCCTGTGTCTCTGAGATGGTTGTGAGATTACATTTAGGAGCTTAATAAACGCGAGTCGCCACCCCAGGCTCCAGACACTCTGTCTCCTCACTTGAGCGGGGTGAGGCTGCTTCCCTCCCCTCCCCCCACCTCTCCCCGCGGGTCAGGCTGAGACGCCTGCAGCAGGATCTCCTTCCCTCCAGCTCAGGCTCCTTGGGAGCTCTGGACACACTCCTGTCCCCCAGGTGGCCAGCCCCGGGCACTTCACCCACACCGGACTCGTCCTATTCCCTGCCCCGCTCACCCTCTGGGGCGCTGACGCCATGGAACGGTCCCCACTACACTCAGCCACAAAGCCCTACTCACCAGCCTCCTGCTCAGCGCCCTAGTGTCATCTCCCTCGTGTCACCTCTCAGTAATCCTGATGATCCCATGGTACCACACAACTCCCCTGACCCGCACACTAACCCCTCCGTTCAGGGCCATCCATAACTCACCCCGTCCCCCTCGGGAAGTTCTGCCACGGCCCTGTGCCCACGCGCTCGGCTTGTCCTCCTCTTCTAAATGCATGGGACGTGTCCTTTTCGGGAGGGTCTCTGCCATTCTTGTCCTGCTCAACTCCTACCGGCATTCTGCCTCAACATCACCTCCTCCAAAGCCTTCCCTGACCACCTCCCGCGCCAGCCCCCTGCCCCACCGCGCGCGCGAGCACACACACACGTGCAGGAGGCCTGCAGAGACTTCTCTGTGTCTGCAGCCTCCCGTGTCCCTCTGCCACACAGTTCACCGAGAGGATCACAGACTTGGTGGCTGGCGAGGGCCGGGACTCCCGAGTTATCAAGACCCAGGTGCGGCTCCGGAAGCAGCGCTTCGCAGCTCCGCGGCTTAGGCCAAGTTAACTAAACAAGGCTGCGTCGCGGCTTCCCCACCAGTAAAGCGAGAATAATCTGTCCTCCACGCAGGGCTGCTGTAAGGATTAAATAAAGCCGCCTGCGTGACGGCTTAGCGGATTAGCGTGGAGTAGGAACGGCTCCGGCACTGCCTAACTGCACGGGGAGACACTCAACAGGGGTGATACAGAGGCCGCGCGGGGGCCGACCCGGAACCACTCCCCAAGCCACGCCCCGGGCGTCCCGCCTCCGCCTCTCAGAGCCCTGGTTTGTAGGCCTCTCCAATCCAACGTGGTGGCGCTCTACACAGCTTCAAGGGCCTGCCCTTCCCTAACCAATCGGAGATGCAGAAAGATGTTTCTGCATTTCCCCCCCTTCTTCCGTTACGCTACTAGCCAATCAGTTTACACTATGAAGAGTCGTCGAGAACCAAGCTCAGCCACCCGGACCAATCGCAGCGTCCCAAGCGGTAGGCTCCGCCCCTTGGCGGACAGGCCGCTCCGCAGGGGGAAGGAGCAGCAACCGTTCAAGGTGGGTGTTCTGGGCTCGGCTGCTGAGGCCGGGCCTGGGCAGCGCGGCTTCGGGGGCGAGTGCGGTGTCCCTGTTGGTCCTGCTGGCTCTGCGCCCGCGCCTCATCTCTGCGCGTTCAGGACCCGTGCTCCCGTGTCCTTGAGCGTGCCGCGGACGGACGGGGACGAGGCATCCTCCGGGCGCCTGCGCTGCCTGAGTCCTTGAGGTCAGAGGTCACGGGGAAGGTCGTGGAAGGAGCCGCTTTGGGCTCCTGGCACTGAAGTCAGTGGTCAAAAGAAATAGACTCTTTAGAGGTCACAGTTCACGGGAGGGGCACTCTTGAGCTCCGGGTAAATGCGCGGCTCCGGGCTAACCCCTTGACATGTAGGAACGCCCTTCGTTCTCATGACCCCCCATTCCTTACATGAGAAAACAGGCCAGGTGACCTCACCTGCCCAAGGTAAATAAGCAGCCTGAGAGACAGTTCCAGAAGGGCCTCGATGCTGGGGAAAGGAATTTGATCTTGAGGGTTATTTAAGCTCTAGAAGCTTTCCAGCAGGGGAGAGGCCCAGGTTCAAGTTCTGGTCCCAGCCTCCTGGTGTGTGACTTTGGACAAGTCCCGCAATACAAACGAGGTGCAGCTTCTCTCCTGTGCCTCTCTCGTGGGGTCCTCGTCAGGACAGAATGACAGTGCGTGTGGCCCCGAGCACAGTGCCTGGTGCAGTGCGCCTGTGGTCGATACTGGTGGCCGCTGGCAGTGTGGTTTGGGTCCGATTTGGAAGGACGAACAGGAAGGAGGGGTGGGGGGGCAGGAGCACTGGTGGGGGAGGGAGGGGGCGTGGATCTTAAAGATTTCCTAAAGGGGAGATAGATAGAACTTGGGGTCTGCCTCAAGCTGAGTCGAGTTGGGGTGGAGGGCTGGGAGGTGCCACCCCTGGGGGCAGGAAGGGCATTCGTGCCTCCGACAGGAATGGGGTTAAGTAGGAGACAAGATGACACAGTGGCCCTAAAGGCTGGGGGCCCCCTCAGAGCCAGAGTCCCTAGGGGGCCAGGCCTGGGACCCACCACACCTCCCTCCCCTCTCATGCCCACAGATGCGCTGCCTGCCCACGCCGGCGCTGCTTCGGGCTCTGGCCCAGGCGGTACGTGCAGGTAGGACCAAGGGAGCCTTCCCTGGGTGCGGGGACCCCGTGTCCCGGCCCGAGGTGGCAGCTGCACAGCATAACCTCTTCCCTTGCAGGGCATCCCGGTGCCCGGAGCCTGCACAGCAGCGCAGTGGCAGCCACCTACAGTGAGTCCCCGGGTGCCTGGAGCCTCAGGCTCTGCTGGCCACGGTCCTGCCAGGGGCCAGCGTCTTCCCCTCTCTGAGCCTCAGTTTCCACTCTGTACAATGAGGGTGACGATCAAGATGGACTTGATTCCTGGAGGGGAACAGAGTCCGCCGTTGCGGGGGTGGGGCCCCCCCATGGCTACACAGTGCACTCACAGAGCTCCCTCGTGTGGGGCGGGGAGCCCTGGGTGCCCGTGCCCTTTCCCAGGGTCCCACACGCAAGCCCCTTCCCATACCCCTCAACCCTGGGCTCAGATGGCCACACAGGCACAGGGAGACGTCAGCGAGGACTGCCCAGGGCCAGAGGCCCCGTTTGGGAAGGTCTGGTGAATGAACAACCCCCTGGGTTCGGCGCCCAATCATTGCACCTGCCCAAAGGGTGGGGCCTCATCTCCCCGAGCTGCGATCCTGGGGGGGAGGTGAGACTGTGAGACCCCCCCCCGCCGCAGCTTTCCTGCTTGCCTCCCCTGCAGAGTATGTGAACTTTCAAGAGCCCGCGATGGACATGAAGTCAGTGACTGACCGGGCGGCTCAAACCCTGATGTGGACTGAGCTCATTCGAGGTGGGCCTTTTGGGGAGGGCCAGATGGACTGGGGGGTTGCGCACCGATGGTCAAGGGTGAGGGCCCCACCCACCATGCCCACGCTGCCCACAGGACTGGGCATGACCCTGAGCTACCTGTTCCGGGAGCCAGCCACCATAAACTACCCATTTGAGAAGGGCCCGCTGAGCCCGCGCTTCCGCGGGGAGCACGCACTGCGCCGTTACCCGTCCGGGGAGGAGCGCTGCATCGCCTGCAAGCTGTGTGAGGCCGTCTGCCCCGCCCAGGTGAGCCCGGGCCCGGCTGACCGCACCGGCCCCCCGCCGCTGGGAGAGGGAGGCTGCAGCCTGCTGCCGCGGGGAAAGCGGGCAGCTTTGGGCCCGCACTCTGGCCCCCAGCCGGGTGCGCGTCCCCAGGAAACTCCCGTTCCCTCTCTGAGCCACTTCCCCCCGTGGCTGGGAGCAGCTCACAGTCAGTGAGTGAGTCAGCGCGGTCAGCTGCGAACTCTGAGCGGACCACGTGACGGCAGTGGGTCCTGCCCTGGGGGTCTGCTCGGGGATGTGTCTCGCAGGCCTGTGAGCCACAGGGTGGCACCCGAGGGTCTGTCTTTGTTGCCACACGCAGCAGCAGTTCCAGGAGCTTTGCCCGTGTGCTTGTCGGGGGGCCAGACGCCAGCACACGCGCCGCAGCTGGGGCCCTCCCTGTCCCCAGTCGCTGCTCCCGTGAACCCCTGAGTTTGCCTCTGTCGGGGGCTCCCTCACGGACCCCCCCAAGGTTGTGGCTGGTCAGTGTGGAAACACAGGCACAGCCGCAGTGGGCAGACCCCAGGCATGCCCAGCAGGGGCCCAAGCAGGCAGTGAACCCCCGTCCCCCCGCCCATGGCGGCTCCAGGGCCACGTCTTGGTGACTCAGGACGGCGCCTTTCTGAGTCCCAGCTCGCCTCCTGGACCGCTCCCAGGCTCCCCAGGCTGCAGGCCTCCGACCTGGAGCGCAGAGGGCCGCCCCCAGCAGGGATGACAGTGACGGTGCCCAAGTGGCAAGGGCCGTCTGGGGACCAGGCTCATGGCTCACTTGCCGCAACTCTGGGAAGTAGAGATTGTCACCCCCATTTTTATAGACGAGGAAACTGAGGCAGGAAGAGGTGAGCCTCCCCGCAAGGCCCCACTGTTAGCAGGAGGCGTGTGAGGGCCTTGGCCACCGCGCTCTGAAGGTCCTCCCGCCGCGGGAGGCCGCGGGCCGCCCGTTCCCCCAGCCGGCCCAAGGCTGCACCCGGGAACTTGGAGTTGAGGACCGGCCTTGGGGCCTGCGCTCTGGCCCTCACTCACCGCGTGGTTTCGGGAAGCCCCTCGGCCTCCTGCGCCCGTGCTCTCATCTCATCCGTCAAATGGAGAAAACAAGGCGTAAGGGGGAGGGCTGTTCGGTGTTCGAGCAGCGGTAACCGAACACCTCCTCCGGGCCGGGCCCCCTCAGGGCTCCAGGCGCCGCCTCGGAGAAGCAGGCGGTGGCCCGTGGGACTTGGGACTTGTGTTCTCGAGGTGACAAGTGGACGAGGAAAACGTCACCTAGGGGACAGGCTAAGGAGAGGCCGGTGAGGTGGACGTGGCGGGCGGCCTGTTGGGAGGAGAGTCGGGGAGGACGGAGCTGGGCTGAAGCCGTCCGTGACAGAGGGCGTCTGCTCCGCGTGACCCCGGGGCTGAGCCCCGGAGGGCGTGGGCATGGGCGGACTTGGGGTGGGGGTGAGCCGGGAGGGCTGACCCGGCACCCCGCGCCACCCACCAGGCCATCACCATCGAGGCCGAGCCGCGGGCCGACGGCAGCCGCCGGACCACCCGCTACGACATCGACATGACCAAGTGCATCTACTGCGGCTTCTGCCAGGAGGCCTGCCCCGTGGACGCCATCGTGGAGGTGAGCGCGCCCCCGGGCGGGGGGAGGGTGGGGCAGAGGCTCCTGGGAGGCGCCTGACGCGGCCACGCCTGCACCCCCCCCACCCACCCGCAGGGCCCCAACTTTGAGTTCTCCACGGAGACACATGAGGAGCTGCTGTACAACAAGGAGAAGCTGCTGAACAACGGGGACAAGTGGGAGGCCGAGATCGCCGCCAACATCCAGGCTGACTACCTGTACCGGTGACGCCCAGCCGGCCCGCAGCCCAATAAAGCAGCTCTGACCTCCCTCCCCTCTGTGGTCTCTGTCGTGGATCTGCCGCCCGAGCCACGGCCAGACTGTGGCCTGTGCGTTCCTCCAGGTCCCTCGGTGGGCTTGGGTCCTGGCCGTGGGCCACACATCTCCCCAGACATTTCCCCCGGGGCTCAGCGGGCCACCCGACAGCTGCAGTCTGGTGCTCCCCCAACTCTGGGTGCCCACAGGCCAGGCCCTGGGCCTGCCCTCTCGAGAGCCCCCCACAACCGAGACCGTGGGGACATAAATAGCCTCCCAAGGCCTCCGGCAGAAGCCCCCTCAGTGGCAGAAACTCGGCTGCCGGGTCATCCTTGTTGAAGTCTGGGGGAAGCCCGCTCCGAGGACGATGGTCACGAGACGGTGACACAGGCCCTGCTGCCCCTGAGCTGGCCCGGCCGGGCCTCCCGCCACATCCCCTTTTCTCCCCGAGTTCCCCAGACCAGGCTGCTGGCTTGGCTCCTCACGACTTCCTGCTTTGGGATTGCAGCCACGTCACGTGGCTCCTTCTGGGGCCCCACGCAAGCCCAGTGCAGGGCGGGAGCCCAGACCAGCCTTCCTGGGGTCCGAGCCAGGCACTGGCAGGGTTTCGGCGTGTTCCCC